CGACTGCCGACAATGGTTTCGGCATTGATCAGATCAGAGGGTTGGGCAACAATTGTCGTATGACTACCGTCGTCTTTGTTCAAATCATAATTGAAGTGGTCGATGACAGCCGTCTTTGTATCGTCGAATTCGAATCCACACTCGTTCGCTAGGCTTGCGATGGCATCACCTGTATAAATGAAATTTTAAACCGACGAAAATGGCGCGATTATCTAAGAATTAATACTTTAATAAATTTATTTAATACATTACAGTAAATTAGGTAAAACTTAATTTCATAAAACATTTATACAACTACCAATATACCTTGACGTCAAAGCGATAAAGATTCGGCAATAAATCATGCGAGAGTCAGCACATCGCTGCTCAGTGTAATTCCTGAGACCGATAGAACGAAGTCTTTGGTCCCTGGACAGTCCCAGCAGCTTCTAAGAAGTTACATCCTCCCAAAGTCATGATATCACCTATCAGACATCATCCAGATCTTTAATTTAAATTAACATGTATTTCAAAGGTTTAATCCAAAACCAGTGCTTAGATTCCCTATAAACTTGTTTTTATAAACACAACGTAGATTCTTCATGCTGGAATAAGATTTATTGTCCTATCTTCACTGCAAGTTAGAATGCAGCTAATCAGCAGAGATAACAAACAGACATCTTAGCAGCGCCTAAAATTGAGTACGTTCTATTCGTTTGTTTGATGAAATACCTAAGCCTTGCATTCATACAAATTTTACTAATATTAATTAGTTTAAAAGCCTCTACAGTATCTACTCATGCAGGTCATTACAAACTGGCAATGACACGTCAATACTGATATTAATCAATACAACCTGCTTAAAGCCTACAAGCCTTTAAAGACTACAAACTGTTTCGATTATAGATTAAAATCGGACGAAGATCTGGTATTAAGTACTCCAGCAGTATGTCGTAAAGAAAAATGAAAATACTGTACCTGTGCATCACAACAACAACACGTAACAAAAAATTCTGACAACTTTTTGTATTATGAATACAGCAAAGGTCAGGATGCCAGTATGCGGCAACATAACGTAATTCGATCGTTTAAGCCGGCATGAATTTTTCGAAATGAATGGTTTCTTCGGCAGGCACTTAATTTTTGTGCGAGCGAACCTCGATCAAGGAAGGCAGGCCATAAGCACGAAGGCAGGTTCCTGTTCTAGACATCTTAGATTCAGGATACAACAGCTTTGCACACCAGTTATGAGCAGAGAGAGCTTCAATTCGAACGTCATTAAATAGAGGAATATCATTAAAGCGTCAAAACTATTATCTCCCAACTATCAGCCGGTTGTTCGCAATAAACGAATAAGAAGCGTCTTTTATTATTGAACAAAGTACAGAATTCAACGGAACCTCGCGCAGATTTGAAACGGAATACTGACAAGGAAAAAACACAAATGCAAACAAAATTTTTGAAAACACATACCAATTTCCGTGCTAGCAGTGACGAGTACATTTCCACCCTCGTCGATGAACTTTGTAATCTGTTGTACAGTGATGGTACCACCGAACTCTGAAAAGGAATAATCCGCTGACGCTATGACCGATACAACCCTGCATTTAATTACCTTCCACTGAAGGCGCCAGGAGCACAAGATGCTGGTATGGAGATTCTCCATATTTAAACAACCAAAGAGCTGGATCATCTGCCAGTCGAATCGTCAAATTGTGACCCTGTTCTAAACGGACCACCTGATGAGAACCGTTCCTCGCTGAGTTCTCTTACCGATTAAATGATTGAGAAAGATCGAATGCGTTTCCTTAATAAACTGATTCTCCAGCAACACTAATATTCTGTCCGAACGCGTTAATACTGCTTGCAAGCCCAACCAAATACATAACAGAGCACCCGCTTTGCCTTCCATATCGTACAATACGAATATGCACGAACACGTTGGTACCGTATAATAGTATGATCGGCAAGTAAAATAGGTTTGCATACATGCGTAATAAGACTACCCGATTTAAAATTGAACAGTAGTAAAATGTTTAGAAAAATTTTCTCGCTATACCGTCAACGACTTCCTTCCTTCCTCAGACCATGCACTTCCATCATTCGTTCTTCTTATTTTTAGACCATCTACTAGGTAGCTAAGGCTTATGAATAATAAAGAATACCGTACTGACCAGAACTGAGTTTCTTGTCATTCCAACAGGCGGCAATTTCTATCAGAACTACTGATATTTTGCTCACCAGTTATATGCAAGTTCTGCATGACTGTACCCAAAATTTTGAGCATCTCATTTCCTTGAATTAACTTCAATCTCGAAATCTAAACTGGTCAGAACCGCTGTACCTCCTTGTCGTATCTTCCATCTCTTGCCAGTACAGAACGGAAATAATTGGCTTTTCCGAGCTTCTCGATGATTGTTCCACTCCACTGAATCCTTGAATCGAGTCGCATGCTAGCAAAACTTTTGTTTTGGTGGGGTCAACTTCTGCTATTCAGGCCACTTCGTGTACGTCTCGGATTAGTGCCAGTTAACTCTTGGCCGAGACACTCAG